GATATTTGTAATATATATTTATTTCTCTATATATATGTACACATATAACATTCTTCGAAAAGAAAAGGAAAATATATCTGACATTAGACAATCAATTTTTAGAATTATTTTAAGTATTTGTTTGAGAATGATGCATCGTAGCGAATTGATGAAATGTCTCATTGAGAAAATTCGTTTGGGCAAAGGTTCGAATGAATTTATGTTCGAAGACGTTCGGGATTGTTAAACGTTTTTGTCGATCATATTGAAGTAAATGTGTTATCAAATGCTTACCATCCAAATGCATTTCATCGGGTAAGACATAATCACAGGACAAGATACGTTTTTTCGTGATTGTTATCTCAGGATCATAGAATGGGGTAATTCCAACAAGTAATTCATATGTTATGATACCTAAACTCCATAAATCAGCTAATTCTTCATACGGCATAGGTACTTTAGTTGTTGTTGAATCTGCAGATGATGCTGATAGATCGCTGTTATTGACATCCTCGTTTTCGATCACTTCCGGTGCCATGTAATCCATTGTGCCAATGTATTGTGTTCGACGCGAACTTGGACAATGGAGTGCCAAACCGAAATCAGCTAGTTTGATTTCATGAAATTGACCGAGGAGAATATTTTCAGGTTTCAAATCTCGATGCATAATTTTCAATCGATGACAATAATTCAATGCATCAGCTATTTGATAAATAAACGTTGCTGTTCGAGTATTATCTAAATGTTGATGTTTTTTTAAATAAGATGCTAATGTATCATTAGCAGCATATTCGAGAATAACATAGATACGGTTCGAATCATAGAAAAAGTCATACATGCGTAGGATATGTTTATGAAATAAACGCATATGAATTTCGAGTTCGCGTATTAGTTGATGTTCTTGTTGGTATTGACGAATAACTGATTTCTAGATGAAAATCAAGGATTCAGTGAGAATTTCAATCGAAAATAGTTGTCAAAGTACCTTGATTACTTTGAGAGCGCAGAGAAAACCTGTTTTCTTCTCTTCAACAAGAATTACTGTTGAATAGGAACCTTCGCCTAATCGTCGACCGATATTAAAATCATCAATAGACCATTTTTTCGTTCGTTTTTCATTCAGTTGCTGACTTTTCGGTTGGTACGGAGTGGCGACATTCGAGACGTCCATTGAAACATGTGTCGAAGGTGATTTCAGCACATCTTCGGAGAATTCATATGAATCGTGTTGAATGTTTATGGTTGGTCGCATAGGCGTCGACGAAGACACATTTTTGATCATTCTAAATAGAAGTAAAAAGAGAAAAACACGAGATTTCCATTTATCCTCAACGGCGAGTAACGATTTCTTTCTTTCTCTCTCTATAAATGTTTGAAAAAGACTTGTCTTTGGTGTGAAAGAGAACAACGACAATGAACATTCATATCATCACATGGTGTACAAATGTGTAGATGATGACATGTAGAAAAAGAAACAAAACAGAAATAACAATACAAGTAATAGAAGATTAAAAAAAAACAACAAATATTGATATGTTGAGACGTCTCGTGTAACGATTATTTTTTAGGATAAATAAGATTGAGAGAACAAGAGAAAGACCGAAGAATATAAGAAAAACAGCATTAAAATAGAATTGGTTTGTCACGTGTCTGCTCAAGAACATAACTTGAGAAACGTTTCAGAAATCGAGGATATTCACGTTTTGCTACACTAAAGTCGTAAAAAAAAACAACACTTTTCAATTAAGAAAAATATGCATATGAATAAAGTTTACCTGCGCAATGCTGCACTGGGCACCCAGCCACCAGGGTTTACTAAAAAAAACAACATGAATGAATTGGAATGTTTCAAATGACTCATGTTGAAATTCCTCTCTTGACAAGTCACATAAATGAAATCGTTTGTTAGGATTTCAAAATTCAGTGCCCTGGATTCGATTGAAAAATGTGTTCTTACCAAATGCAACATAGGTCAGTTTACATTCGATATTTTCTCGTTTGATGTCTTTGGGATTTAGTGGTGGTTCGTTAATGACTGTTTCGCAGATTAAAGCAACATTGGCAACGATACGAACTTGAGGTGATTTGATCTACACAAAAATAAATTCCACAAAATGCTTCAAAAGAAGTTTTTTAGTTTACAGGTGCGAGGAGATGTGGAGTTGTGTAGTTGACTACAAGCCATGTTGGCTGATCTTCATCCGAACTTGTAAATGAGCGGATATGTGACCAAAAACATGAATCGCGTTGAGCAGCTGGCCATACACGTTTATGTACTTGATAAAAGACAACTGTTTGAGGATCTAAGACTTCAATAATCTTCGTTGAATCAAGCGTAGCTTAAATGGCATCAGATAAGATACAAATAGAAAAGATTATTGATTCGAACATACTTTCCCATTCCATTCGATATTGAAACTCCCAGAAATAATGACAGATTTCATGACCAGTTACTCCCTATGTCAAGTTTCACATATAATTTCTAAAATAAACTAATCTACTTTACTTTGATCGTATGGAATATCTTCATTGGATCGAGAACAAGACCATTTTCTTCTACTTCACGTCGATAAACTTTCATCTCACCTTCCTGATGTATTAAATCCCAGCCATCACTAACGTCTTCGTATTTGTATTTTAAATGTCCTTGAACAACTCGCTCGATCTAATTATCAATCAAATTCATCATGAATTCTCGATTCGAACGAAGACAAAAACAAGGATATTACTTCAGCACTTAATCGATGTTTTTCACTGACAAGTGCCTTATGGTTGCCTGTTGCCGACACAGCTGTGGCATTTGTGGAACTTTTTGACTTGATTGCTGTCGTTCGTGAACGATCACTCGATGATGATTTTGCCTGGAAAAGAACAAAGATCAGAAAATAAACATATTGAGAATTGAAGAAAAGAAAGATTAATTTTCGAGGCGATTTTTATGGCGAACCTGATTGAAATTTTCTTTTTTAGCTAGAACTTCAAATGGATTCATTTCACTGGTTTCGTCACCACTATCTACTGATGACGGTGGTGTTTCGTACTGATCATCATCTGTACTGTGAATTCCAACAGTTGAGACTGCCGGAGAAGAGGATCGAGATGGTGGATTTGGTGTGATAAGGAATTTTCTTTGTTGATAATACGGTCGTAAACCACCAACATAGTTTAATGGAGATGCACAAGAGGAAACAAATGGTGCTAAAGATATAACTGTTGTTGGGTTTGAACAGCCAGCTGTAAATGCATAGGATGGCGGAATATGAAAAGTTTTTTTAAACGATTTCATTGTAAAATGTTTCGCTTTCTCTTATCAGTATCGCGTACGTTTGTACACCGTGGGTTTTAATAGTGCGTGTAGTTAACAGTTACAAAAGGAATGAAGAACGAGAGGAGAGGGAACGAGCATTTCATATGTTTCTTTTATTGTTTACGTGTTCTGCGATTCCAGGCGTACTCATGATGCGAACGAGCCCTCTCGCCTCATCGTCATCCCATATGTGACACATCATTATTCTTCAACAATGATGTAATAGTATTGATCAAAGTTTGAAAAAAAAGTGTCATTGAAGGTGAAGAATAGAACGTACGAGAAATGGAAATCTGCTTTGTCATCAAATAAGTGACTAAAGCAATGAATCTATTGTTTTCTTTTCGGTTTCTAGCAGTAAATTTGACACGTTTCATTCTTATCTTGCAAACTGTCAGGGAGTTTTTAAAATGAGTAATGTGTGAAGTAAGAAAAAAAAGCCGAGAAAGCGTTACTTACTGAACGGTAAAGGTCGTCGGTTTCACGATCAATACGATCCAGGGATTGATCGATAGCATCATAAAATTCATCTTCTTTCAATGTACTATGTGGACCTTCCTGAAAGAGAACGATTAACCAATGAAATTAGATTTCTTGTAAGTGATTTACTTCGGCATCCGGCGAGCCAAGTGCGGGAATGTTTTGCTTGATTATTTTACCATACAAATCTTGAAATTTCCTTCGTCGTTCTAATTCCTATGAAAAAGTCAAAACTAAAGTTCGAAAAGAACTTTGAATTCGTAATGTTTACTTTTTCATATTTCTTTCTCCATATATCTTCTCGCTTTTGCATCAGTTCAATACAAATAGTAAGATTATGTATAACACCATCGGTAGTTGCTTTGAATGTCAAAGCTATAAATAACGAACAAAAACACAGTTAGAAAATGAGAAATATTAACGTTTCGTTCGAACCTTCTCCTTTGAAATCGATTGACATAGCTGCATGATCGTCTAGTGCGAAACCTTCGATCTCTAGAATTTTGAATAGCTATGATTTTAGATTGAAGTATGAAAACTAACTTGATTTTGGTATTGCACTTTTTCCAGGTTCATTAGTTAGAGTTGGTGTAGCATGGTTTTTGTCTACTGAATCTTCAAAATCTAAGTCATGGGCATTCTCATCTAAATCACAAAGAATGCATTCATTTTAAATCTTTCTTCAACGCATGAAACTCACATTCTTTTTGGTATGGCTCAAATCCTTTAGTTACTGAATTTGCACATGCATCAAAATATGTTTGTAAAGTCTGAACTTGTTGTCCAAGTAGCTCTCGGAATGTTTCTAATTCATGTAACTTCTCTTTTAAATTACGATCTCTCTGGAAGCAAAACGACATGAACCATCTTTCTTTTTCAAACACAAATTCCCTACCCGAAAAGAACCGGTCGAAGCGACACTGGCGCTTGCTGCTGACGCTAACGATCCGATACTTGGATGTCGTCTTAGATTTGTTTCACCTCCGTAATCCGATTCGCTTTTACACAGTTGTTTATGTTCTTCTAGCACCTGCATCCATCGTTCGCGATCTTCTGTACTATGAGCACGAAGGTACCACACCGAATCACCAACGCGTATATCGAAACGACAGTCGTCAAATTCATGTGGCTGGAAAAATCAATATGATCGAATGTGAATATCGAAATGAACTCATCTACCTGAGTTATAACTTGTCGAACAGCGAGAGCACCACGACAGCCCAGTGTCGAATCGTACTCGTTTTTATAATAATTTAAAAATCCTTGTCTTAAGATGAGATATCGTTCTTGCCAACCATGTAAAGAGTTTGTCCNCGAAACGACAGTCGTCAAATTCATGTGGCTGGAAAAATCAATATGATCGAATGTGAATATCGAAATGAACTCATCTACCTGAGTTATAACTTGTCGAACAGCGAGAGCACCACGACAGCCCAGTGTCGAATCGTACTCGTTTTTATAATAATTTAAAAATCCTTGTCTTAAGATGAGATATCGTTCTTGCCAACCATGTAAATAGTTTGTCCATTTGAAAATTCGACCTTGAAATTCGCCCCTTCGAGTCGATCCACTCACTGTTTTTTCTTCTTCTAACGAATCTTCCTCATCTGATGTTGTTGGATATTCAGCGTTTGTTGTCATTGGTGAAATCGACGAGTTGTTTTCGTTGACAATTTCTTAGTTATTTTTTGTTCAAGTTAAAAAAGTAGACAAGAAAAAATTCGAAAATTCAAATCAGTCATTTAGAAAAGTATAAAAACAAATGTCCAGTAAAAAAGAAGAGATAAAGAAAAACTATAGATGAAATTTTGTTTTAATTGGTTGTTTACAAGGACGAATAAAAATCAATATGTTCTACCTTCTCACGTAGAGCACAATTGTTCTTCTTCTCTTCTTCGTCACTGCATTTCTGCTTGTTGTTGTCTCGATACTTGAAGGTTACCAAGAGTAAAAATAAAAATTTATCTGATGTCATCGATGCATAATGAGTAGACATATAAAAATATCCTCTCTTTCTTTCTAGATTCATTTTCGTAGGAAAGATGTCTTTGTTCGATTACAAATATTTGAATCAAACGCATTTGAAAGGCCTTAATGAATATAAAGTAAATTCATTTTGATCTTAGTGATTTCTGCAATGAATCGTATTCGTAGTATAATGCAGTGGATACGTCACCCGTATCGATTTACGTTATGCAACCATTTTGGAATTGGTGTGTTGAGGTAAAACTTCGCGTTTTGTTAATGAAAGAATCTCAATGCATCAAATCTTAGTTTTTCCCTCGATGGTTTGCACCGAATTTAATGACATTTCTTGGTTTTCTTCTTCTTGTTGTTAATTTCGTTCTGTTTACGTATTATGACTTCCACTTTACGGAAGCTCTTGTTTTGCCACAATGGATTTGGCTTGTTGCAGCTCTTTGTCAATTCTGGTCACATCAATTAGGTAGGATTTGTTGAATGGGAAGAATATTTCTTGATTGTGTTTTGAAAAGACGGAATGGATGGAAAACAAGCTCGACGTACAAAGACAAGTAGCGCCCTCGGCGAATTGTTCGATCATGGAGTCGATTCTTGGGCTAGTTTCTTGTTTCCTATATGCATTTTTTCTGTTATTGGAAAAGGCGAAGATGGATTTAGTCCAATGTCTATGCATCTTCTACTTCTGTCCATCTATTTGACATTTATCGATTCACATTGGGAAAAATATAATACAAAAGTTCTATTTTTACCATGGTCGTACGACATTTCGATGTTGGTAGGGATAAACGTAGAATTCGAAATGATTATTCTTCGATTCTGAAATTCGTATGTTTAGATCATGACAGTAACATATTTATTGGCATACTTTTTTACGCCAAACGCATTTCGTTTTACAGTTCCAATTCTAAATGTCTCGTTTATAAGAGTAGTCGAATATGCCTGGCCCAGTAGGTTCAACTAGCGACAAACATTTCCAAGATTAACTCTAAATTTTTAGTATGTGGAGTGTTAAGTTCGATTCCAATCAGTATTGCGCATATTTTCGAGTAAGTCTTTCCACTTATCTCATTATCAAACTCAACGACAGTTTTATTTAGATCCTATCGTACTCGCAAAGGTTACAATCGTACGTTCTTTGAAGCTATTCGACCTTTGATCTCACCGGCTATTCTGTTCGTATCTTCAACTTGGTGGGGACTTGCATCACCACATATGATCTTACAGAAACAGCCACGTCTATTCATGGCAGCTGTTGGCACAACTTTTTCCAACATTGCTGTATGTATTTTGACAGACACTTTCGTTGATCTCATGTGCACTGTAACGTATTTAGTGTCGTCTCGTTATTGCTCAGATGTCATCGACCCGATCGGAGGGTATTAACATACTTTTATGTTTCTATGTTCCTATCCAGGTCATGTCCGTGTATGGTCTGTTCGCGGAAAGGACAGAAATGATACTTTTAATTTTCTACAATACTTTTGTTACTCTCGCCCATATTCATTACGGTTGCTGTGTGGTTCGTTTGATCAGATTTGCATCTCTATCGAATAAGCAATAGATTTGTTTCTCTTTTTAGGTTCGACAAATATGTAATCATTTGAAAATCCACGCATTCAAAATAAATGTTGGTGCAAAAAATCTTCCGCCTGCGCAGGCTCACATAAAACATTGATAGAACACAATTTCTCTCGTTTTTACGAACAGTTTCCTTTCGTGTGTTTGTATTTTCGTTTGTTTTGTTTAGCACGTTACTTCTATTTGATTTCTTTCTGGTAAACAAAGAAAAAAAGTCCGAAGATCTTCTTTGCAAACGAAAGAAATGCACATGCAATTCAAGCTTCGTCGATCTCTATTTTGTTGTATCACTCAAATTTGCTTCTTTTGACAGTAAAATCAAGCTAGTGTTATTTATTGCATTCTATTTCTTTTTTGTGTTTAATATCTATTCAAAGTAGCGTTGCCGATAATCCTTTAGATATTAAAACAAAGAAATTATGTTAAGATTGACGTGTGAAAACAATGAAGGAATTTTATTAGTAATTTCTTGTCAGTTCGTGAAGAATCGATAATTATCCAATTAGTGTTCTTGGCTTCCTAGATTTCAAATTGAAACTATACAATAATGACAAATATGTGCGTCTTACTTAGACAGCTTCATTTGCTATTGAGAAAGTAACGTTTCGATTTTAGAAAATAACGTTTTGCCTTTGAATGCGAATCTTCTTCTTCGCTTTCACTACTGTAGTCTTCGTTCATATATCGATGCAATTCACGTCGTGTTGGGAGAAAACGTCGTTTAGCCATGTAATGAATATTATCGAGAGCGTTATGATCTTCATTCAACTAAAAATAGATTGTGATAATGAATAAACCATGATAAAAAAAAAGAAAAATGACGGCGTTTTTACGAGAAGATGATCAGGATAGGCGACATCGTAAGTCACACCAGCCTGAGTACCAATGAATAAAGTGAATAAGAGAATAAGGCCGAAACCAATGAGAATTTTATCGAAAACGAAGGACGTCATGACTAAAGACAGCGAAAAGATTCCATTAGATTGAGATTTGTTCGAAGACATATCATCTATTCGATTTATATCGATCAAAACTTACTTCGCGATTGTTCTTTGGAAAATTTTTATCAATGAAATTAATTTTCTAGGTAAGACTGATCAAAATGACGTGATTCAAAATCTTATATATACTTCATCAGGTCTCTTTCTCGTCTTCCGCTTTCGAAATACTCCATATTTTAGCGACTAAATTGCTTGCGTTAATGCAATGGCAACATAAATGAGAGAAACGTGTGGGCAAATGGAACAATTTTCTTTGAGAAAATTAATAAGACTGTGTTCGTTATCAACATATGATTGCGTGTTATTTGACGATTTCAATCGTTGATTGTTGGACCACTCACCTTTAGTTGCTTGCATCTGATCACACATTATGCAAGTGTAATTATCATCGGAAAGGTTTCAGTCTTCAATCTAAATAGCGGAAATAGAAATGAAAGGAATTTTTTGCTAATGATCCTTTTCGGCTTGTGCGTCATGCGTGATAAACGATAAATGGGCTGTTGGGACATATCTTTCAAATAGATTTAGGTGATATTCAACTTCATGTCTGAACTTCAAAGATAAAACTCAAGAAAAACAATCTACTCTAATAAGAATCTCGTATCGAAACACATCAATGTCGATTTTGATTAGCTATATACAATAATCATTCGAGGAAATGTACGCTTGGATGTAGATCTCAGAAATCTTTTTTTAATCAGGCAAATCTGTTAACTTATATAGAGACTAGAAATACAGAAGATGTTCGATTATGAAGGCAATGGTAGGTGTGAGAAGAAGTATTATTTTGGAATACGGTAATCAAATTTAGTCAACTCTCAAATAGTTCTGCCCGATATAATAAAATCACAGAACTATCATGGTACTAGTACTGACTTCGGACATACAAGTTAAGGGGTATAAAATTTAAATAGCAGAAATATAGATCAGAGTAGTATAGTGTGTTTTATAGGATTTCAATCTAAAGAATTAAATAAACCGTGCTTGAAATTTCCTTTTCTTTGTAATGAATACATGTGAGGTATAAGATTGTTAACATTTATAATGGAAAAGTTTCGAATTGATTGATGTATTATTACTTAATGCGGACCATGGATCACAGATGATATTCTTCTTAACATTTTGTGCTCTAAACAAGCTCATGATCTTTTTCTGGAATATATTGATTAATTTATTCACGTTCAACAAGATAGTTGTGTTAGAAAAAGACACCTAAATGAATAAAAACGTTTGTCCTATCGTAAAAGAAAAAGCTCCAACTCTATATTTGTTCTAATTCACTTTGCTTACAAATTCATTGTTATGTTCTAGAAAAACTACACACACAAACGCTATAGACAAGCAACAATATTAAACAGGAATGTTCGAATCTGTATAATTAACACGAATACAATAGGCGTCTTCGTTTGTATCCTGTTCATTATTGATTAAAATAATAATGTCTGTAACAGGTCCAACATTGAATGCAGGTAATAGCGTGAAACTAATAAATCGTTTTTCATTTGCTTGAAAATCCAGCTTTTGATGTTGTAATTGAAGTAATTCAGGATGACTGCTTGTAAAGAAGAATGTCTTGCGAATAGCATACGGATTCGTATATGATATTCGTTTGCTAACGGACTGACTTTGTCCAAAGGATATTGAATGAGCTAAAAAATGAATCAGATGATTTTGAAAGTCGAGTTTATTATTTCCAAAATTACTTACCGAATTGTTTCGATATAACAGGCATACGGGTATCCACACGTATCATCCATGTGTCAACAATTTGATGGTTTTCGATGTCAACTGCATTGACGCAGTATGTACGAAGTCCCGAACGTGCCGGTCGAACAAGCATATGAACTTCGTGAAGACTATTCGCTGCAACTGAGAAAGCATTACTTGGAGAAATGATTAATTCATCAGGAGCATTGTCTAAACATTGTACCAAACGTGACGATCGTGTTCCACTATAGAGAAAAATGAATACTGACATTTCGAGGAATAGAGAAATTTCTTCATACCGAAGTAAAAGTGTTGCTGTTGTTGTTTGATATTGAATACAAGTCAGATCTAAGCGTTTAACTGCATGAATTTGAAATTGCCAAACATTGATCGGCCGATGAAGGAAACCATCGGCATACATAAACACTAAGAAACTACTCACAGTTGGAGCACTGTGAGTAGCAGCCTAATAACAAACAACGAGTTTGATTATATAGTTCCGAAAGGTAAATTTTTATACTTTGATTAACATGTCACAAGGTTGATTGACAGGTACGGGTTTAACTTCACAGACAATATTTAAATCACTCGCACGAACAAATACTTGATGAACTTGTTCAGGTAAACCAGTCGAAAGAGATTCTGAAGCAAAAGAATTAGGGATAAAAGAAGAGAGGAAATCAAACGTGTGTCACCTGTTGTTACAGCTCGACGTGGATTAGGTATACGAAAAACTCGTTTCAATAATGTATTCTCTCCATTAATACAACGAATAGTTTGGTCGACGATAGGTGACATATATTCAACATGAATTGATAGTATACTAATCGGTGTACCATCCTCCGCTTGAAAAACTGCCTAAAAATCATCAAACAAATCCAAGTGATTTTCGATTGTAGGTGAAATAAGATAGTCGTTATACCTTGATTAGTTTCGATTTGACTTTTTCGTTATAATTTTTCTCCACTACTGAATATGTTTCTTCATGTACATATGGACTTGATGAGGTTTTGTTTTCCGAAGGTGGTATTCTTGCTAGAAATGTTTGTAATTTAAATGGAATATGAACTGCTTCTTTTCCTCGCATGAATATCTGAGGGTATTTCAAACCGCTTTGATCGATGATTCCCGTCTGATTCGTGAACATGTTCTCTTCGGTGTCAGAGAAAACTTCGAATAGAGTTTTTAAACGTCGCCACTCGCGTGCATCAGTCACAACACTAAGACAGTATTCGGTAATAAATATAGGAAAGTGAACATTTCGATCTTTTTCTACCTTAATTCATCGTCATCACATGCAATACTAATCGAATGTTGTTCTGGATATGGATTTTGTAAGATAAATTCAAAGAATTCAACATAACCAGGCATTAGACGAATGTGCACTTCGCGAGTAATAAAGCTCATTAAATGATGCGCGATATCTTCATGTTTTGTTTGTTGACGATACATTGAAATTGTTCGTAGATCAGTTTCGCGTAGTTCACGCAATTTGCGATTAGTTCCTGGCATGGATGATGAGACACCTTCATTTCCTGTTTCAGCCGCTCGCTTTCGCACTGCTTCCATTCGTGCTAATTTTCGTTGGCGCTCAGATTCACTTGCTTGTTTATCCTAAAACATCCAATTGTTCAACGAAATAGTCATAGAGAATTCAGGAATCATTACCGAACTATGTAGAACAGAATTTATGTTTGGATACGAGTCGACGATACGATGAGCGCGAGTGAGACGATAATCTTTTACGCCACCTGTGGTAATTTCACCCGCACGTTGTTGAACAACGTCGAAGGGTGGTGTTGATGATAGAATGCGATTCGTCGGCAGTAAACGCAATGCATCAGAAGCTGCTCAGAGAAAACTGTTGGAATCGAAATGATACTTTCTATTAGCCTTACTTCGAATAGTTTCAGCTGAGGGTTGTTCTGTTCCTACAGATCCAACATTGCCAATACGCATGATCAATTTACCGACAGTTTTTAATTTTTCTCCAATCAGAGAATATTGTTGTTCAGTTGACTAGAAAAACAAGCATGGATAGAAATCGGTGTTTGAAAGAATGAACAATTCATACTTGGTAATACTGGTTTTCCATGGCAGGCGTGTCACTACTTTCAATCGGAACCGTTGCAAAAACATCAAGTTCAACTAATGTTTGCACTCCCGGACGACCATCACGGAGAAAATACTACGGTATAGATATTTCCATTGGTATTTATTCGACCCTTTTAAAGAAAACTTTATTTACCCGAAGTTCGAGTGCACACATGCCAACAGGAAACAGACCATCACCATCCCAAACTTCAATATAAAGAGTATGAGTATTGATATATTCAAAGAATTGTCGTTGTTCAACAGAACCAAGAAAACCGCCATCAACTTGAAATTTTACCTTAAAGGAAAAAACAAGACTATTTTCAATTGAATGAAAGTTTACACTCACTGGTAATCCTGGTAGACCAGATGTTCTCGTACTATCTTCTTTCAGACGCCATAGAATGTATGGTTCAACATTGGGATCACTGGAAATCGTGTCATGCATACGTTCCAACATAACTCTGTAAAATATTTGAAAGCAATTCGAAAATATAACAATAAAAATTCGTGCAAACCTGCTGGTGGTCGTTTCTGGAAATCGATAAAATTTAAAAGTGAAAAAGAGACTCTTCGGATAAGTTGCTTTGGATGACATGCCAGCTCGTGTCATTCTGTAATAGAAGCATTTTCTTTGATGAAAGAATTTTGATGACAATGAATTTTACTTGAAATATGCAAGAAATTGTAGATGAATAAGATTACAATTCATCGGATCGGCCATTTCTGTTTGTAAATCAAGAAAACGGGTTTGTCGGATATCAATCATTTCAGCTTCTTTATCATTTGTTGTTTTAATCGTTGGAAAACCTTGACCTTGAAGACGAGAATAAGCAGCACGAGATAGTGTATGTGCACTGTAGGGAAAAATACGAATTCAATTTGGAAAGTTCACTTTATGAGAATTTATTTACAAGGTCATTTGATTGGCCAATGCAGACATTGGTGAAAAAGCTGGATAGACTCCATCTGCTTGCCATGGTACCAAATTCTATTGAGTACAAAGAAGAAGAGTGTATGATTCTATGTTGAAACGTTTTCCTACCGCTTGATGATAAATAGGTGGTTGAATAGCTCCCGGAATAGTTTGAGGTGGAACAGCTGGAATAAAATCGGCCATAACGAAGAAAATAACTTAATCTCAATTATTACCTGTTCTTTGTGAAACGTCGTAAGTCATCGATGTTGTTAAACTAGTATCGAGTGGAATAATAGGTCTAAAATGAATTCCTAGATATATACATTTCATTTGTTGAGATGGACTACTTTTGCATAGTATGTGGTAGTAATAAATCTGTTCTTGCTGTTGTTGTCATTGCTGTTGTTGGATACCGCATAGGTGGCTAAATGAAAACAACCAACAAAATCAGCTAATATCGAGACTTTCCTTTTACCTCTGTATCAAATCTATAGTTAAATCGCAAAGTTTCTTGAATAATATCTGGTGTATTATGTAGAACTGTTTTCGATGGCTTGTACACGAATAACTCGTCACTTGGTAATGTTTCACCACCATACATAACCAAAGCAACTTGTTTATCTTTTCCCGGAAGCCAAGCTGCCCAACGAATAGTGAATGTTACTTTGGTAGTTTCCACTGGTTGATTCTATAGAAAATTCATTTCGAATATGCAGTATTCATTGTAACATTTGCATATACCGGTTTTAAAGGAGTACCTATTGGTATCGAAACCATATATTCCAAAACAAAGACGATGGCATTGTTATCGTCAATAGGAACATCATCCAAGCGAATTGGATTTCTCAGAAAGAGTTTTTTACGATCGTCCAACACACCAGTACGACTGTAAAATCGAAAAATATGATTTAGGAAAAAAGATTGAAACTGTTCAAACCCTTCGGCAGAAACTGTTCTACGTCGTTGTGATTGTCGAAAACTTAATTTTCTTGACAGTGCTGACATTCCTGTATCTTCTTGTTCGGATGTCAAATAAAATATGAGTGGGTCTTGAACATAGCATTGCCCATTGTGTACACCAACCTATACACAATATAAAAAGTCTTCTTTTGTGAAATAAAGGATTACTTACTCTTAAGCGTCGTTCAACAATCGAAACTTTTTGTGGTTCCGGTGATATTTGATTCGCTGCTGATTGAGATAGTTTTTTCTTTTCCAGACGATCTTTATTGATCATAATACAAAGTTCTTCCTCGAAAATATTCACCGACGGTTCCATGTCAATTTCAACTTGTTCAATAAGAATATTTCGTCGATTTGCTTGTAGAACAGGTTGTTTCAACACATCTTCATCTGAACGCGTACAAACATGTCGAGTGAAAGGTTAGAAAACTGAAACTACAGATCTCATTACTTGAATCGCCAGAAGAATGAATACCACCGATATTTGCACCCCGACCAAACAGAGTACACTCCGGGAGATATTGAATAACCGAAAATAATGGTTCATGATATTTGACTTCAGTGAACAATCCAGCAGATGCAACTTGTAAAACTTTTTGACATGCTGTAAAATGAAAATTAATTTAATAGCAATGAAAACTTTTATAGAAATTCAATTTACATTCCACTGGTTCATTCAGAAACATTAAAGCACGTGGCGAACCTTGATAAAGCGGGCAACTAGAAAAACTCATTCAATTGAAAAACGAATATTGCCAATGAAAATAAAATTACCGATTACTAATTGGTTTTGTACTGTCATCATCAGCAGTCCACGGTTTCAGACGAATTACTGTCCAACCACCAACGAGTTCAACTCGATCATCACGATCTTCTCCAGTACGAAATATAAATTGAACTACTAAGCAATTTTGATCATTTTTCATTGGTATATGACAATATAAAGGCTGAAAAGATTATAGATGTACTTTTCAGTCAAGAAAATAGCGAACTTTTCTTACTTCAGCAAGATTGACGCGAAAGAAGCTATCCGTTGCAAGTTTACCTCGATGCCAAGTGCTAAACCATGTTTGTCCGTAGAATCGTTTGTATAAATTATCGAATAACGTTGCAGTAAATTGCACTTCATATGGAGCAGCGAGTGACTGAAAGAAAGTGCGTACAAAATGAAATGTTCAATTATCGTGGTAATAACATACAGCTGGAACGGATGACGGTAAAATTTCCAGTGATTTAATCAAAATCCGAAATGGAACGATATTGCTAACATTTCCGGCATTGGGCCCACCTGTTTTGCCATCAGCAAGTCCTTTTTGAGAATCATTGTCAGCTGGATGAGGGACATCGAGCGAGCTATGGGCTGCTCGGTCAAGCCAGTTGCTCACTGCTTCCATCATTTTGACAGAATCGTGAAATGGAAACTAAGCAACAACATGATAGTACGTAACACTATCTGTTCTCTTAGTGATCGTTAACAACGTTGATGTTTAGAAAATAAGATGAGAATTACTTTCGTTTGAAAATTCATTTGTATTTTTATTCAGTCTTCTATGTTAATGAGAAAATGTTCTTGTTCGAACTAAAAATTTGTTCAATTGACAGATGGCGCACATTGTCAGTCTTGGGGATTCTCTTTACATTTATTTAAAGATATCAAAATCTAAGCGGATGACAACTACAATACAATTAGTTGTTATTTTTGGAGAAGAAGAACTTTTCCATCGAACGGTTTTAAATTGATTTTCAATGTATTATTCTCAATTTGGTATTCTTCATTTGATAACCAGTCAATCCATTTACCATTTTGAGGAAAACTATTAATATCATAATCATTTTTTTCTCCATCGGAGAAATGTGTTACTATGACTAAGTCATTACTCCGAGCATAAACAAGAACGCGGTTATCGTAGTGTTCATAGATGAAATTCGCCGTCTTTTCCGTCATTTCCGCACGTTGTTTTCGTAAATCCAACAATTTTTTGCATGTTTCACGCAAAGATCGGTTCCGTTCGTTGTTCAATAAATCCCATTGCATGGGAAATTCTTTCGTATTTTGCCCTTCACTTCCCCATTCTCTCGCTTCACCTAGTTCATCACCTTGTGTTATCATTGGTACACTAACTGATGTAATCAGGATGATCATTGCTAATCGCATACGTGTAAAAGCAGCGTCGTCGAAAACATTCCCACTTTTACCGAGTACGAAAAGAAAACGTTCGTTATCATGACAAGATAAATAGTTGACAAGATCCGCTGCACTAATAACATATTTTAAGAGATCAAGTTCCAATTTGGAGAGATCAACAAGATTATTTGCTATGACACCGTGAAATGAAGCTGACCAGCATGCATCGACAGGACCACCGTTGGACTTGAGTATTGCCGGTGCTTCGGGTACATATTCAGCAGCAGTATAAAACGGTTGAGAAGTTCGAATCGATCTTGCGACATTGTCAAGTTCACGAAGTATATCATAATTATCCATTTGTTTAGCTAAACAATGCGAAAGTGAATAATGAAACGAATAGTTCCACAGTGTCTTCTACCGGCATCAAAGCGAATTCCGTCCAAATGATATTCACTAATCCAAAACCGTACCACATCAGTGACAAACTTACACGCCGGTTTCAACTTTTGTTGTTCATCATAGTATTCATAGTTTAGTTCCGGACCCCAATAGAATGAATCTATACATTTATATTACTAAATACTAAGACAACAATAGAATTTTCCTTTTACCTTCTGGATGGTGTCTTCCTTGATAATACTAAAAGAAGGAAAGCAGACATTTGAAATCAATGCATGTAAAAACCGAATAGTTTACCCAATAGTTATGATCGATGATTTCCAAAGGACAATCAGTAGAAGTATGATTGAACACTGCATCGAAAATAACTCGAATTTTTCGTTGATGGCATTCATCAATCAATCGTTTAAATTCTTCCGATGGACCATAACTAGCTTTTAACGCAAGAAAATGTCTTGTAGAATAACCCCAATCATGATTCAAATCCATCGACTCTACATTCACAAAGTAAACCAATTTCTCTCCGTTGGATTCGCACAAAAAATGTATCGTACCTTGCACTGGCATAAGTTCAATTGCATTGATACCTAAGTCGCTGAGATAATCAAGTTTTTCAATAACACCTGAAAATTGACCATTGGCAGCAAAATCTGCGATATACATTTCATAGATAACCAAATCTTTATTCTCCGGTAGTTTCACATCGTCGTGTTTCCATACGTATTCGTCTAAGATTTTCCGACCGTTTTTTATTGTCAATACACCTGTCTTTCTTGTTGGATCATATTTTGTTACGTATGGATCAATAACATCAATCCAATTTTCTTCATTTTGTCGTCGAATACGAAATTTGTATTCATAAGTACCATCTGCAAGTTCTTTGGAACAACGAAATGTTCCCTGATCGAAATTCATGGAAATATCATTCCATTCCGAAAACGAACCGATTAGTTTCGCTTCAGCGATAGTCGGTGCAAACAACGTAAACTCAATCGAGGACATATCTGCAAAAAATGATCTATATCTTAACTTCGCTCTTTCTTTTTCTCAACAAAGATGAATCATAACAATATTCAAACGTCAACGATTGGTGGAAGTACATAATGCAGGTCAATGAGTGCGTTTTGGTGAAGTTAAACCTGTTCGTTTGTTTATTTCAACTTTGTCGAAAAGAAACATTCGAATAACAAGAAAAAGAAAACACAACAATAGTTTAGAAAGAAGGAAAAACGAGTATTGTTCTGTTGCTTTTTTTTAGTGTGTAAAAAAATTAGTTCTAAAAAACGCGATGTTGTCATTCTCTTTCACGTACGTATATATCAAACTACAAACACACGAGTGAATTACTACTAAAGAGATTATTGTCCACCCGGACGTAACGATGATAAACCAGCACGAAGAATTTCATCGACAAGTATCAAATTTGTTGCGATTGATGTACTTGAGTGAATTAATTGTTTTTTGACACGATAGTTGTCGAAAATACCTAAGGATTTCGGTTCCATTGCCTCACCTTTGAAATAGACAAAAGAAATAATAGACAAGATAGTCGTTTTCTGTAACATACCGGTAGCAACATCGATACCAACGGGAAGTTTTGATGTTGCATATTCTTGTTGAAGTTTAACCATTGTTTCTTGTTGATCATGTCCAGCATTTTGAGCGAGTGCCTTTGGAATAACTAATAAAGCTTCCGCGAAAGCTTGAACACCTAATCGAGCTCGTCCTTTCACTTGATCCTTGTACTGTGTAAGTGCATGGTGAGCAACGATCTCGAAAGCACCACCACCGGGAATGACACTACCTGCGAAAAGAAAAAAGCCGTAATGATGTTCGAATGCAAGATGCTTGTAACGAACCATCTTCAAGAGCATTTGTAATGGATCGAAGACCGTCACGAAGAGCATCTTTGAGTTGATTTAGTATATATTTTGTTGAACCTTTGAGTAAGACAGTGACTGATTTGGGATTCTTACAGCCTTCGATGAATGTGAATTTTTCTTCGCCCTAAATAATGTCAAAGCTCAGCTGGTTTCAGATTCTAATGCCAAACATCACTTACTAAAACATGTTCATAGACGTCTTCAGCGAAACCAAGACATTCTTTTGTTAAGCTTTCGACCGAACTGAAATGAAATAGATTAGAGTCGATTGAATGAATGCATCTCTTACTTCATGGCTTCACCACCGCAAGCTAAGGTTAAGCGTTCCATGTTTCGACGTTTCGCTCGTCGTAAGGCTAAGATTCCTTCTTTAGCTAAGACATCCAATGAAAATGGGTCAATGCCTTTTTGATTAATAACAACGAATGTTTTATTTTTGTCATCGCCCGAGCAAACTTTTCGTTTTAATTCAACTATTTTTTGAACACGATCATCGATAAATTTACGTTCGGAGGCAACGAGACGATCTCGTTCTTCAGCGTTCTTGTAGAAGAAACCAGCATTGACTTCTCTGAAAAACAAAAGAAAAACGGCTCGAATGAAGTTGAGTTTATCAAACAAGAATAGTTACGTTTTTTCATATTCAAGCGAGACGTTACATGTAAGAATATAAGCGTTTTTCAGTGCTTTTGGCATGGATGGATGTCGACCGCCATGATCAAGAACGATACCACGCACAAGTCGGGAATCCGCTTCAGTTCGATGTTGCATTTCCATAACTTCAACCATATTCAAATCAACCGGTTTACCAGGCTCATACAAAGCCAGGACTGCATCAACGATAATCTATATATTTAGAAGGAAAAAAAAACAAAGGATGATGAAGCGAAATGGATAATCTACGAACATCAGTGAGAATGTCAGCATTGTCAACAGATAGTTTCGTACGTAATGATGTACGTGCTATTTGAATAAGCGTTTCGCGGTCTTGTTGAATAGGAATCTTCATTTGATCGAGTATTTGCAAAGCTTCTTTCTTGGCTAGTTCAAAACCTTCTCCAACAATACGTGGGTGAAGGCCCTAAGAAAAGAAAAAGTGTAAAAACGATCATAATTATCAACTCTTTACTTCAGTAATATAAAGATCAGCTTGCTTGAGGAGTTCACCAATTAAAAGTACGATCGAAGTAGTGCCATCGCCTGTAATGTCATCCTGTGCGGTTGCTGCACGAGCAATCAGCGATGCTGTTGGATGTTGTACTTGCTAAATAACAACTAACATCGATCAAATCTTATTAATAATGAAAATACAAACCATTTCATGAAGAAGTGTGTTTCCGTCTTTGGTTATTTTGATATCACCTGCACCTGATACGAGCCTAGAATTAAAATGAATAGTGAGTATTGTAAATGAGATCTTCGGAAGAGACGTACATCTTCATTGTTCCTTTTGGACCTAAGTTTGTTTTGAGCATTTCAGCAAGACCACGAGCAGCTGAGATGTTGATAGCTAAAGCTTGTGCTTGACGAGCACTTTCAGCTTTGGGATTTAATGTTGTAATTGCAGACATGTTTATCTGAAAAATAAAATAACAATTTAGATTTCTGTTTGCACAAAATCTTGTTGATCGTATCGTAGTTCTTCGACAATTTCATTGATATTTTCGACAATTTCAATTAGTTTCTCGTTTAGTTTCTCTGCTTCTGCGTTCTTCTTTTCAACTTTTGCAACGAATAGATCGTTAGTCATTTGTAACTTTTTCTGTTCATAATCTTGTAATTGTTCGATGTGTTTATAAATCAATTTTGACGTTTCAAAACGTTTTTTAATCGATAAAATTTCTTCCGATATTCTCGCAAAGATAACCGTAATATCCGAAAGAAAATTTTGAAACGCCGGAAAGTTGTGTGTGTTTAAAAACATCGACTGAGCATCGGCAAGACGCTGATAGGTAAGACAGCGTTGCGATTGAAGACGAAATAATGCCGGTAAAAGATCATTCATCTTACATTCATTGACATTCACATCGTCTTCGGTATTCTCCATCTAGAACAGAAACACAATTGAACGCCGATGAAACAAATTGTTAGTTTGTTGTTTTTATATACAAAAGACAAAGAAAAGGATATTTATTTGATATATTTATCCATAAAACGTCGATGAAAATCACTACGTAAACTATCGTTGACGAACTGTGCAACACGCTTTTCACCTGATGCACTATCTGCTTTGGCGCAATTCTTGAAAACAACATCGTCGTCCCAACGGCGTTTAACACGAAATTCTGCAGTTGATGATTGAGCTCCATCTTTGGATGACGAATTTAGTAATGGATTGCCTCTGAGAATGTTTTCTGTGCGAATTCTTTCGTCCTCTGCACGCTTTTGTTGTTCAAGGCGAGCGGCTTCAGCTGCACGTTCGTTTTTAATACGAGCCAATTCCGCCATTAGTTCAGCTGTGTCATCTTCATCATCGTCATCATCATCATCGTCGTCGTCATTTTCCTGTTCATTGCTCATTGCACGAGTGGGTTGAGTATTCTTGCCAGACCGAACTTGATGACGTGAAGTACTTTCTTCGTCGGACGATGATTCATCCAAAGGATCACTAAATGAACAATAGATAGAATCGTGAGATTAACGAATTTCAAAGCATCTCACTCAGCATCAATGTTTCCTTTCGTTTGGCTTATGGATGGTTTCGATCGGCTAGCTGTAGTTCCACCGGATGTAATACGTTTTGTGTCAGAAGAAGGTCGTTGTGATTGTTGTTTATCACGAACACTACGTTCACGTTCTTCGAGCTCACGGCGAAGGCCTTCTCGATCTTTTGACTTTAACTCTTCTTGTGTACTCTGACCTTTTTCACGATATTTCAACGTTTTATTTGATGGCATATCTCGTGCAGCATATTGTTTGGACATGCCACTGAGACTTGATTCGCCACGCGAAGCACCACCAGCTAAAGCACAAACGAAACGAAATTGTTATGAACTTTCGTAATCTACAAGGAAAACTCACCGGCTGGTTGAAATGCATTGCTTGCCATACTATTGATTAGAAGCGTTAATTAAGGAGAATGGCTGACCGAAAACGAATGTGTGAACTGCCTATTGAGAGCTTACTTACACAATCAAATGGTAGATGTTTTGTATTGGAACTAAGATACAGTATTCATTAATGCAGTGTCACAACCAATCAGACGATTATCATAGTGTATGATTTGGAAATAGTTTGAATTTTTGAAAACAAAAATCTGATCAAAATTGAATAAATTTTATGAGAATAAGTTTTATTTGAGCAATAGATTGAAGAGGTCACTACATGTTAGGTGAGTAACGAAATGAGCAGAACTATATAGCAAGGAAAACGAGAAATCATTCGAAATCACTGAAAGCAAGAAAGATCTATTTGGTAACGTGTGTAGATTGGAAAATTTGTGGTTACTTTCCGTACAAATTCAGCTAGCGCCGCCGATTTAATCATTCGTTTGTCATCCTACGTGTAGTGACCTCTGCATATCGTCTTATCGAAAGTAGAATTATTCTCGTCAGATTTGTTCGACTTTGATCAGAATTTTGTTTTCAAAAATTCGATTTATTTCGAAATAATATACAACGATAATTATCTGATTGGTTATGATATTTCTCTAGAAAATGTATCCGAGTAGGAAAAAATTGCTCTTTAAATTGTAAAAAGGATCATTTGCTCATAGAAGGTTTTGAGAATGGCACAGCTGACGACCACAAGTAATGAGTTTACAGCGCCTACATTTTCTTTCCATCAGTCAACATTCGGACAAAATATCAGATTGGAAAATAATGCAACAAAAGCAGTTAGACACACCTCCTTCGATCATGGTAAAACTTCTTCTTTTTCAAATTCTTATGTAAGCTCTCCTTTGTCTCGTAGGTATTACTTTTACAGATAAACCAGTTAATATTAATGAACGTATACACTTGAAAATTGTTGAGGTTGATGAAACTCGGCAATGGTGTGGTTCATTAGCTATAGGTACAAATCAAAATAATACATAATGAAGATTGTTCTTTGTCTGTGTATCATTACAGGCTTTACTCAAGTTGATCCAAATACGATCCGTCAAGAAGATTTACCGAAATCTGCTCTACCCAATCTCAGCCCAACTAATAAATTTTCTTATGTGAAACGTTTGTATGAAACATTGACAAAACAACTTTGTATTATTTTTTATTATAACCCTGAGTATGCAGATTCGTGAATTGAAAAGAACAAGCCGCTGAGAATATGTTTCTTATTTTAGTGGAGCTTATTTCATTCTCGATGGACGTGAACAAGACATATCAAAAGCAATTGATTTCAAGAAACCTCTATGGGCTGTTATTGACATTTACGGAAATGTGAAAGGTAAGATAAATCTCGTCATACATTTTCTCTAATTGCGGAAACGACTAAGAAGTTTTGAATTTCATCCTGCTCGAATGAAACTAACGGAATCTTTGCTTCATCTACATATGACAGGAAGTGAAACTATGCTCTTGTATTCTTTTTCTAGCTGTAACTTTTACCACTCCACCGAAAACAACTGACGATGGCAAATCTTTATTTGCTAAATACCCGCAAAAGCCAGATAAACTACCGATCCGTTATTTTACACATCTGAAGCCTGAAAACTTTCAACCAGTTACATTCAGTAATGTTCATGGACCCGAATTAGAATTATACTGTGAATATAAAGTTGCATTACGGAAACGTATATTTTGAATCATTTATATAAAAAAAAAACTTCGCAGACAACTTTTTTCTATCTCACAGGTTTACAAAAACTAGTCCGACCTTATTTATTCATAAATTTCCCTATGGCACCTGGTGACGAGCTCTACATACGCATCTTATCAATTGACCCGAACTATCGAACACCGTACGTATTTGCTTTTCTTCTTCAATTAACTCAGTTTTCGCTGATTTTACAGAGGAATCTTTGGTTTCACTAATGTTCGCCCATCCGCATTTACAGATAAATTAGAAACTTTACCCGCTAATGATCCTGCGGCATTAGTTGATCGCAAGGAATATTGGCTTCTACGCGAAGAGCCCTTCGATGAAACACTTAGTGAACTTGATGAATATCGAATCTTATTTGACAGAACAAGTGGAGAAATTCTCTTATGTCGAAATAATGATACCGTTTCTCAACCACGAATATTAACATTTGCTGATCTCAATCAAACATTCTATCCCTTTTTATTTCTGAATGGTCGTATAACCGCTCTTTCCGTCTTTGGCCTAATTGCTCAGAATGTTCTCGTTACTGATGCCAATCCGACGACTAGTTTAACCAGCCGAACAGATGTTAATGATGAAGATGATGATTCCGATCGTTGTACGATTTGTTATGATGCAAAAGCAACTTGTGTACTTATCCCATGCGGTCATATGATATTTTGTACGAAGTGTAAAGTTGACTATGAAAGTAGATCAGCAAAAATTTGTCCGAAATGTCGAGCAGAATACGAACAAGCGATTGAAGTGGAAGCGGATTGAAAATCGACATATTTTGTGTGTTTTCTCCTCCGTTCTTCTTTTCTTTCTTCTTGTTAATTTATTACTTTAAACGTATTTCTTCGTTCATTTTTGTTATATGTCGATATTCAAGAGTTGAAAATAGATTTAAGAGCCGAGTGATCACTAGATCATGTATAAATGAATTTGGAGGTGTCAAAAATAAAGAAATTTTATTGAAATATTGACAATTCATAGATGTATGATTATCTCTTCGAATGTTTACATGAATGCCGTGTAAATTAGCTAATTTTCATCGAATTCAATTCGAATTGATAAACTATGATGGCTGACAACTAATCAAAGGATTAACATGTCTTCTTTCAAATTCTTTTTCAATCTCAAAGATTTATTTCAAATATACCATTGTTTTATTTTACAATTCCATTAACTAATTATACAATTGCATGGTTTATTATTCATTGCGAATAATTAACGATGCAAAGTAATCAACGATAAAATACCTGTAAAGGACATTGATCGAAACAGTAAACATTTACTTAAAACTGTAACAAGCAATAAATAAATTGAAACCGCCCAGTAAAGTCATAGAAATACTTCGTTTACACGCACTTGATATATCATAATCATAATAATCATAGTAATCATCGTGAACATCTACCGAATGGGCGAGTGTGCTATTTACTGTAATCGTGGAATTGACTTTAATCTTCCGAAGATGCTGGAGTGCGCACGCACCATTCAATAAAGTAATTATTCCAAGAAGTATTAACACAAGTCGACCTGTCATATTGTTTCTAATCAAACAAAACACAATTGCATAAACGAGAACTTCGTTTATTTTCTTTCAAAAAAAAAAATTCGTCATTTTAGGACAAGAAGCAACGAAGCATAACGAATGTATGTCGATGCATATACAATGCAAAAAAAGAATATCGAGAAAAAATAACATAAATTACGTTATTGAATACACCCTATCTATTTGTATTATCATCTGACTCTTCAATAGGGCGGGTGTATGAATCTTGAGTAATGTATCGTTTTGTTTTATAAAGGTCAACGGTATTCTCATCAGGCTGTTTTCCAAGTAATTTTGTTTCGTCTCGATGTGTCCTATTGACGAGAACTGTTTTATCCAGTAAATTGGATTTGTCTATAATCGTTTCGATGGTATTGATGTTTGTAATTAACGTTTCAGGCGTTATTTCATCAATGACTAAGGAATGCTGAATCATCAATGGGCCGATCTTCGTTCGACGCACGGATTCAGATAGTGTACTCGTGCGTAAACGTATACCAATGTCAAGAATAACTTCTTTCAAATGCATTTCTTGCTCATTGATGACGTGCATTTCTATTTAAAAAAATCCTTCTCTACTTTCCAACAAGAATGTTTGAGTACTTACCAATATCGAAGAAAGGCGCTTTGAAATTCAGTAATTTTAAACCGTAAACAATAGGTGGTAACGTATGATCACGCGGTTTCCATAAACCACCTTTGGCTAATTCGAAACCAGCTTGAGTAAATGGACTAATACCTGACATTCTACAGTTTATATGCAAACGTGGTGTATAAAGAGAGAAGATGCATACTTGTACATAGATGCTTGAAAACTACTTTGAATTAGAGCACATACACGTTCGATTTTCGATCGATTTACATGTTCTAAATGTAAGGATTTACAATAATTGAAAATACATCGACACGATACGAACTGTAAGTGCTTTTTTCAACAATGACTCCATTTGCATCGAGTGTATTCGTCGATTCACCCAATCTGCCTTGAACATGATAACACTAAAGGTGAAAAGATCAGATCGAATGTTAATCGTGAAGAAATTGAACTACCCGTAACGGTTGGCCATTTTGAATCTGTTCTAGAAGTTTTGAATTATCATTAATACTAACAACTTGCAAGAAACAAACAAGATTTCAAGAAAACAAAATATAATCTGGAACATTCTTTTACTCTGTAGTCCGGACGAGAACGATTCGAGTGGAAAAATTGCTTTGATATCAAAATCCTCGGGTTGATACCGCGGACCCAACACTAAAATAACACAAGTCAAGTGTTGCATAATATCAACAACCAAATAAGTTCTTCACCTTGCACCGTATCACTCAGATCGACCGAGGAAACAACGATTTCCTTGCCTGTAGTTTCATCACGTTTAATATCTATGCGCTGCATTGCTGACCGACACGGCATTTGATTGAATGCTAGACAATATCATCTCGTTGATGCATATTTATGTGAATGGAAGTCAATTCGAACTACCTGACGCTAATCTTTCTTGTAGGACAATAAAAAAATGTTGCATTTGCATATCAGCCGGTTTAAATAGACAGGCTACACCGTGTAGCTTATCATATAACAATTCCGCAGATGATCGAAACATTTCTTTAAAAAATACAAACAGTGAAGTTATTGTATTCTCACATTCGTCTTTTTTGTCTTCGATATGTGACTTCTAGGTCAAGAAAAAAAAATTTACAAGTACAAAAGCGAGCATGAATAGACTCGTATTTGAACTTCGAGATAGAGTATGCAATATCACACAGGAGAAAAGAGAAAAATATATGATACATTCGCTGTTCTAATTACCTACATGCAAACACATGGTAGTAGATTTACAAATTAGGAACGGACGAAATAGGGAGAGAAGAAATTGAATATACAAAATGAAATTTGTCACACATGAGAGAAAAATAGATATGTACATATAAATATTTGTAGAAAAATAAATAATTAAGTTATTTGTTTTAATTGAGGAAGAACTTTGATGACTCGGCCAGTGCCTTTAGTCTGCTGACCTGATCGAAAGATAAGTCGCGAACCTTCGGCAACATATTCACATCGATTTCGAAATCGAAACGTAACTACTGCTTGATTATTCGCATGTAATTCATCCTAAAAGAGTTCGTTCATATACACACGTCATTCAACATTTTCTTCTCTTACTTTATCCATCTCAGTAATCAAAACAGTCTGACGGATATTTTCTATCTGAACTGTTGTTTCGAAACCTTTACGTATCGGTGTATTCTTATGATGCATTGTTAAATAAATCTCCGCGACGAATTCAACACAAGCTTCAGGATTCGATGCTGATGAAACAAGTACCATACCCTATTTGAACAAATTCGTTGAAAACGAGACAAATTCTCAACTATGGAACACTTACTTTACGTAACCGACTACCACCAACATGAAGTAAATTTAATGAAGCAGCTTGACCTGCATGAACTATTCGACGTGGTACTCGATACCGATGTATAGTTGTTACTTTGGCTGGTAGAAACGTACCGTCTAATAAAGGACCCACTAAATAACTTTCACCTTCTTTGATGACACCACTAAAACAAAAGAAGAAATGTTGTTTAACTATAAGAACGAGATTTTTTGTACCTTTTCAGTGTACCACCGACTACAGCAGCACCAGATGCATTATTCGTATAAATCTCATCGATCTGAATGGAAACAATTGCGAAATATGAATCAGTCAAATTGAATTTGAAGAATCTTACTCGAAAATCGACAGGTAATAATGAAAGTCTTTCTTGGTCTTTACTACTCAAACGTGGTGGAAGGATATTGAGAAATTTTTTCAATAAGTCAATATTTTCACCAGTAACACACGAAACCGCAAATATTGGACATATACTTTTCTCGACAAACATATCCGCTGCTTTAACAAGATCTTCTTCTCTTCGAACAACAAATGGCAAAAGATGCGTCGAACCGTGTCCATGTTTTAACAAATAAGTTAAACAAGTTATTGTCTGTTGAATACTTGTCTTTGAACACAAATCGATCTTGTTAATAACAACAAACACAGGAACATCTAATGTTCGTGCGTATGAGAAATGTTCACGTGTTGTGTCAACTAAAGAGAAATAAATGAATTGAGATAAATGTCACTCATTCAACAGTCATCACATACCAACGCTAGATGGTGCATCTACACAAAGCATTGCAAAATCCGCTGCATGTGCTGCAAGACCAAATAATGTTGTTTTCATGTATTTTGTATGGCCGGCAAGATCAATGAAAGTGATAACTAAACAAACGAACAACAATGATGAGATCAAGAAGGATGAAATGACCTACTTTTAGTTGATCGATCACAAATTTCATTTGCTGTTCGACAACATCCATAATCAATACTCTGTCCTAGATTATTAAAGCCAAGAATTTCCAAAGTTATGGATGAAGTTCGTCCTGATTGAATTTCATGCAAATGTCGAAAGAGATTTAATCGTGCACGACCACGACCATTGTCAAGTTCACCATGCGTACAAACTCCAACTAACGAACTTTTACCACTATCTACCGTACCCAAAACAGCAACACGTAAGTCTATAAAGTGTTGATCGTCCGGCACTTTCCGTACGAGAACTTCGACGATATGTCTATCATTTTCTAATTTTCGTTCATACAGAATTGTTATCGACGCACCTAATCGATCGGCCATCTTTTTCAATGTTGTCAATGATGCTTCTAAATCCTCACTACTGACACCACTTAATGTACCGCAGTCCTCCACACCGATTTCATACAATGCTTCGCCTTGTCCTTCCTGCAAACGCCAGTTCATTTGAGTGATTAAATGTTCGAGTCGAAATGGATTCGGGTCGATTAATTTCAGTTTATATTCAATATTACCTTCCTGGGGCTACAACGAGAAGAATAGTCTTTGAAGATATAAAAAAAACATCAAACAAACCTCCGGCGGTAGACCAGTGAGAACGAATGGTGAACGAGGTACTTGTTCATTGTTATCCTCATCATCCTCTGATGGACCAAAGAGACTTGTCATATGTTGATCGACCTTTATTTATAAAAGTACATTGCATTCTAGGTCAAATAGGTTTTCTCACAAAAAACTTACTTTATGATAGTTTATTGTCGATCGCCGATCGTTCATCGGTATAGGGTCCTGATTAGACATCTAGAAAAAGTATCCACGTTTACAAATAATGAATTCGGCCAAACTCCTACTGCATTTATAATTAACAAAAAAGATGATGTTACTATGATGCAGGATTTCTCGGATTTTGGTACATGAAATATTTCTTCATACTAAACTTAGTTATGCAATTACATACTTGCTATAGTACCTGAAAGCTGGAAGCTGACAACCTATACAATGTGATGTAAATGCGAATAATGAAAAATATAAAGCATTACAAACCATTGCATCATTCTCTCATTTTCTCTCTCTGTCTCGTGGTGAGTGTATTCAAAGAGAAAGACTCATGTTTCATTCGAAAATCAACATCTGTTTTAAAAAAACAGTGAAGCGAGAAAGAAGGAAAGAAAAAGAAAGCAACAACACAAAACGAAGGAATATATTCATATTTTTTAAGGATCTTCACGAATGATTCGTCGCTCTCGACTCATCATTTCAGTGTTCTGTCTGGTGTATCGATCGAACGTTGAACGCATAACTCCTGACATTTGATTGTAGTCAGCAAAACGACGCCACATGATTCGACCCAAACGATACTGTTCAACAACACCCC